GAGAGAGAGAGGAGGGAGAAGATATTGCAAGAGTGTACGTAAAGTCTGTACCAAGTTTCAGCAAATTTCAAGTCTATACTTTCACTCTACGAGAATTTGAACTTCGGCATAATTACACAAGATTATTTAACATTGAAAATTAAAGGACAGGATTTCGACAAGCTCAGGTTCGGAGAGAGATGCAAACAGACAACGGAAGTTTGTTCTTTAGTTAATTTCAGGTTCACCTTGCTTTAACCAGATCTCAGAACTTTGTTATCACGATATCTAACAATGAAAATCTTAAAATTATAAAAAATAAAGTTTAATCTTTACACTGAAAGAAAAAGTGGTAACATCATCAAAAAATACATATGATGTTCAAGTTTGATGAAAATCTAACAAAACAATATATGCACTCATTTATTTTCTTCATCATTTTTCTTATTTGCACAAATTGTTTGTAATGTTATTCACAATATTTATATAAAATGTATGTATGATTATAAAAATTCAAAGCCGGGAAGACAAGAATAGCAGAACGCTTTTATATTTAAAACATTTCCCAACGGCGTCTTGAGACGTCAAATCCGCGGAAAATCAAATTATACGGAAGCCTCTGCGAACTAAAAGAACCTGTGTCAAACCTAATTCACGTCTCTATAAATAAAATAAAAAAACACAAGTATATAAAACTTTGAAATAAATTATTTAAAAAGTTTCTAGAATTACGTAAAATAATTCATATACTTGGTATAACTTATATATAATGTCGAAATGATATACAATTATTGCCCTAAAACTTATATGTTTACAACATTAAAAGTTTGCAAAAATACCTGATAACCTGGTTGATGGAAGATAAAATGGAAAATAAGATAGTCGTTTTAAATAAATTATGCGGATGAATTAAAAAGGCGTCTTGTTGTAATCCACATACATTATAATCTTGGTAGCCATACATATCGTTATGCCCACGCGAACTTCTGCGGCCGAATGGAGTCGAGCCGCCGTTTGGAGTAGAAGCGAAGCGCTCTCCGGGACAACGGTTGTGTTGTTTATAAAAAAAAGTAAGGCGCGGTGACTCGTGGCCCTACAGAGGTGTGTCCGCGGAATTGTTGTTGTTGATTAGTTTGAATAAAGCCTACATACGTATTTTAGTAAACGGCGTTGTTCGTTGCCGAGCGCGACTTCCTCGCGGAACGCGCGTTTAGTGAGAGCGTCAGTGACCGCCGCGGACCCAACAATATGGGTTCAATCGATAATAGGAATTTGAATAAAGATATGATCTGCACGCCCCTGCTATAATAAAATCAGTGTAACTTAATAAAACGTATCGAATAACGTATCGAACAACAGATGAAACAATCGGCACATCAAAAATTTAATATACGTATAATAAACGCGTGATAAAATAATAAAAACAGAAAGTAATTCATAAATTGAGAATATAATGACGGAACAGAAGAAATTAATTGTACTTCCAACATCACACATCAAATATACGCCAGAACGAAACGCAATTTACATTTTATCTAGATTACACCATACATGCAACATTGTGTGCGACGGCGGTTTATTCACGAATGGAACAATATACTGAAACGGCATTTAACTTTTTCCACTATTTTGAAACGCCATTTAAGTATCACGCTCGGCACAACTTAACGAGAGATTAGAAATCTAGTGTTGAATTAAGCGCATATACTTTTCCAAATCGACAATTGCAAAATAAAATTACATCTTTCTCTACTCATAACTGTAAATAATAAATAAGGGAGATATTTGTTTTCTTTCTGTTAATTATTAATAATAAGTCTCTTAAAGTTTAAGATCAAATTTCTTCTTAAAAAATGTTTAATGGTAACTATGCAACTATGTGTCACAATAATATTAAGTATCAAATTAAACATAAAAGTTTAAAATTCCGCTGGCAAAAATAATTATAAAATTATTTAAAAATATGACATTTTCAAATTAAATTTTATCGGCATTTTTTTTTTTTAATATTAATCAATTCTATATGGAAAACAATACGGATATCGCATGATGCGTTCAGAAAAAGAAAAAAAAAAGATAGAAAATTCTGCTGTGTTTTTTTTTCCAGAAAAGAGCTTGATCGAAAAATTAGAGTTTATCAAGAGGTTAATATAGCTTCTATAACGACTAGGAACATGCGTCCAGATCCCATAATCCCAAATGTAATTTGCCCGCTTTTTCTGTCTCTGTTCTACAGAAACATCAGATATTTTCTACCGTCTCAACAAATATCGATCGATCGACATCTCTTCACTCGGGTAACTTATAACATGTTTGCAAAAAGTAAAAAAAAAACGGCAAGTAAATTTCACATATTAAAATAAGGATGGAATGCTTACTCGAGAAAATTGTTATGACGGCAAGCTTTTAAGAAGCATTTTTATCTTAACTACATATTTCATAAAATTGTTGGTTCAATTAAATATATAACACTTGTATACGCGAGTTTTCGCTTCTCTCTTTCAAGTTATAAAATTTACATCCTGCGTTTTGTAAAGTTTGTCATATTCTTTTTAAAAATACTACTTCATCTTGGGATGACAATAACGTTATAGTTTCTCAGAAAAAAGATTTTTTCCAAATATTGCATCAATGCAATGAAATATCCAATGGTGCAAAAGCGGTCGAAACGTAAAGAATGAAGTACATCGAAGGCACTGAAGCGTAAAAGTGAAGTCATCCTTTATTCATCCTTTCGCTTATGTATCTCTCTCTTGTTACATTGAATTCCAATATTGTGTGTGGCCTGTATTCGATCTCTGATATCTATCAGCATGATGTAATACGTGCGCACGATTGTTATAAAAGACTGTACTAAAAAAGTTACAACAGTAATTCAACAATATATTTTACCTGAGAAGTATAACAAACGTTTCACAATTTATAAAATGTCACAAAGCTTTGCACATACAGTTTAAATAAAATGTAAAATGTAAAATGAAATTAATATAAATTGTTTCAATGCGTAATATTTTATTAAAATTTTTTGCTTTACGCGATGACAACACCTAATTTTTATACTCAATCCTTATAATATATTGTCAAAGATAAGTATAGTGATTGCAGGGGACGTGTGTCTGACTAAAACGAGTGATATCTACTCGCAATGCCGAGCACGTATATCACGATCGTGTCACGTGCGGATCATTCGTCATTTCACTTTGGAACGCCTACTCGGATTAAGTTCCAAGACTCGCCGTCAATATCGATTAGTTACTCGATTTAATTATCCTCTAATGACATATATTCGAGAATGATGTAAAATTAGCATGCGACGGCGGAACATACTTTTAGCTTTCTGTTATCTTTAATGTATCGCGATTGAAACGAACATATAACGCACTTGGGGAAAAGAAGATTTACTTACCGATATTTGGATGCTGCAGTTTTCTACATATCCGCGCCTCACGTTCAAGCTTTTGGAAATCTGCGACAAAGAAAAATGTATTTATAAATACACACATACGCACGCACATACATGTACATTAATTATACAAAGGTAGTGAATAAAACTAGTTTAGATATGTCAGAAATAAGCTGCTGCTTTCTCTAATTTGTCCAATCGATAAAATTTTTATAAATGGTGATGAAAATAATTCGAATTTTATTTTCGCGTAACGTAATTGCACGGATTTGCAGCTAAAATGTCCAACTGCCGATCTCACACAGTGACGAAATCGAATTTTGTAACGAGGTTCCCCAACAAGTTTTCCCGGAGCTAATTCACTAAGAAGCACGAGAAAATTGCATTTATCGACGGCAGACTCATTTTGAGGATTATTTCCCGTTACCTTCTTACGTACATTGCAGAATCGAGAATCGATTCCCCGTGTAATATTTGATGTCCATTTGATTAAAATGGTGCAAGACGATATGTCCCGACAACGAATATCGTAACAGAAACAAAAATATAAAATAATGAAAGTGCAGTTCTCCTCGATTACCTTGCATATTCTCTAATTTAAAAATATGTACAAAATATGTTTTTTTTTTCTTTTTAAACACATGGAATTGTTATAGTGCAATTAGTATTATATAAAAACACAACTTTCGTGTGCAATAAGAAAATTAAGAGGTACACTTACATCAATATAATCTTTTTCAATTTACAAATTATATTCTTTTATAGATAAATATCAAAACGCTGATCGTGAAGTTGTTAAAATAGTTATTAAAATATTTCTCGACTGTGCTAGTTAGTAATTTCCGAAAGTTTAAGAAACATGAAAGACGAGAGTTTAAAGCGCTAGAAGCGACAAGTGTATAAATTGTGCGACTGGAATATGCGGAAAAACATGAATCAAATTGACGACACAAGCTCTCGGAAGCTTTATATTTTTTGCACCCGTGGAAAAAGTAGGTTATTCGACAGAGTCAAGTTTTCCATTCGCGATATGCTAAAGAGTTTCATCCATCGTTTACGAGTCACGTGAAAGATAATCATCTATGAGGGTAAGGAAAAACTTGAGCGCGGACCAACACTACACTCGCACGCACGCACGCACGCACGCACGCACGCACGCACGCACGCACGCACGCACGACCGTTATACACACAATCGGTACAGACCGTAAGAGAAATACCGTCGGAGTAAATGTAATGTATTCTTTCTCTTTGCTGATCCTTTCTGACGTAGCGGTAGGAAATAATTAACATTAACAACGCGACTGGCACGCGACTTTACGGTCGTGCAACGCCACTATTAACAAATAAATTGATCCTAGATCGCAAACAGATATAATGGCATGGACGTCCACTTTAGCGTAATTTTTCTTTTTCTGTACCAACACGTATTAATCGTATTGTATACCAAACAGAATATAAAATAAAATCTCTATACGTTCTCTAACGTATTTTCATGCAAAATATTACTCGTACGTAACAGATCAATATAAAATTATTAATATAATCTCATTTTTATATCATACTACCTTAGTGATCAATTATCTTCTTACATAAAAATATATTTATAACAATAATATTTTAATAAATTAAGAAATAAAAAATTAATAAATGTCTTCAGAATATTATATCAATTAATTAAAATTGAAACAAAAAATTACAATAACTTTATATTATTTTATAGTACTAAAGAAATATTATAAATTATAAATTGCATTAAAAAAAGTAATAAATCTTTATTTCATATATAATATATACGTATATCTCATCTTGATTTGTTACCGATTTTTAATTAGATGAGAATAACGATTCCCTGGATGTTAAGCAGACAATCGTATCCAGAAAATGTCACGTGATCACGCATTCGCAACGTGATACGCAAATTGGCCGAAATTCCAGCGATGTTTCATGACTGAGAGGAATGATGTTACGTGGTGTTTGGTGGTGTAAACGAGTTGCAACTCAATTAAACGCAGATAAGTCGCGCGATGCAATATTCGCGGAAACAATTATTTCACTCAGCATATTATCACCGTTAAAATTTTATCTTTCTCTCCTTCTTTCTTTTCGCCCTACAGATATATTGCATAATCTCCAATAGTATTTCGCATAGATAAAATCCAGTTTACGGAAAACGTTACAATCTTTTCTTTCATCACTATCCCTACCTAATCTGTCCTATGATTTTCTGGAAAGCCATTATAACGTTTAGAAGTATCGATCATATCGCATTTTACTAAAAAATTTACTTGCGTAACAAAAACTTATGTAACGCAACCTTTTACGTAATCCGATGAACTTGTGCATTTTACACACAGACATATCTACACGAGCGTTATTAGTAACTATGTCAATTTTACGATTGATTATTTATTTTCCATGATGATAAAGGATTAAACAACTGAGAAACGTATAAATGCAATTTTATTTATCACTTAGTATACAGCGAGTGTCCGCTAATCGATAGAGTGGGGCGTGTCTGGATAACAGCCGTTGCGATCACCTTCACCCCCCCCCCAACTAATTAACACGATCTATATAAATATATACCTATAAAAAGAGATAAAAATGAGAGAGAGAGAGAGAGAGAGAAAGAGAGGTTGCACAACGCGCGCAATACACACGCGTACGTGCTATTCGAGCGAATCATTTCCAGCAGGTTACGCAGCAAACGAGCTCGTTAGAAAAGTGTATTTTCTTATTTTTATCTCGTTATAGAGAGAGCTCTATGCGGCTTGGTCTTTGGTATGTGTGCGTATGCATCTTTCATAAGAATTATCCATACTAATATGAGCGGCCGATCGATCCCGCATCGAGAATTTATGTGCCACAAGTCAATCGCCACGCAAAAAGTTAAATATGTAAATCTTCCATATCTGTATTTTAACAACGTTAATTAATTATAACAGTTCAAAGAAGAAAAACAATTAATCATCGAATAAAACTCTATAGTTACAATTATCAACGTAGAATCCATATTTGCTTTAAGAAGGCTAATTGTTTGAGAAACTTAATATCTCCCGATAGAGTTACGAGACAAACGCTCGTGCGGGAAGATCGTGTTCCCCTGCAATCAGTTTGGCTCTTTCACAATTATATGTTTCATAAAGATATTGTCGAAAAGACAAATATCTATGTGCGTAATGATTCCATCGCGACGAAAGAGTAGCTCATCGTCAAAAGGTAGATAGTTTTTTCATCACAAGGCCAATTCTCAAGAAGCATCCACCCGATGTGCAACGCTTATCATCCAATAGAGCACGAATGTCACGAAAGTGTCAATAATGTTGATCATAGACTCGCTTATGCAAGTCGATGCGGAGAAAGTGCAAAACCTTGATCCGTCGTGCGCGTGATAAGGCTCTAAGGTTGATGATGCATTTTTTCCTCCCGACCTCCGGATGGCAATGAAGATATTCCGCTATGAACTTTACGGGAAAAAATGACGCGGCCTTTTCTGTTGACAAACGAAAGAACGATAGAAATATTTCTTCATTTCGTACGTTTTATAAATTAAGATATCTCGACAAAAAAATTTCACTTTTTCGATAAGTTTAGAAAACTAATAAGATATTAGATAGCAAATTAATTTCAAGATTTTTAATATTATTTTAATAATATTAGCTCGTATATAAAAAATTTGTAATTGAAAAAACTAGGTTTGTCAATCTAGTTACAAGTACAAAATGTAATGTTGAGAAGAAAGTTATTTAATATCAAAACTCAATCATAAAAAAGATTTCAAAAGGAAGATAAATAAAGATCAGATGGAGAAAGACAAGATCATCGCGCGCGCGCGCATGTGTGTGTGTGTGTGTGTGTGTGTGTGTGTGTGTGTGTGTGTGTGTGTATCAAGACCAGCCTCGTCGTGATTCTCTTTGTGGTTCAGAGCCGCGAATTAGAAATTCAAATGACCGCAATGTCGACTTAATATAAGTATAGATTATTAATAATAATAAATGAAGAAGTAATTTTTTGTAATTATAAAAGTTAAGTTAAGTAATATAAATGAAAAAGTTTTAATGTAAGGAAGATAATTTTATTTATTTTACCTTTTGTATCAGGGATTAATAAATTATGTTTTTATTATTTATAAAAATATTCTCGAATTTAAAAGAGCTAGGAAAGGTATGATAGTTAATGTAAAATAATTATTATTAATAACTTTTTAGAGAAGAGATTTTAGTCAATTTTAAAGATATCTACTTCTTTTTGAATAAATTTAATTTTTATTTGGTTGTATGAATATAGGACAATAAATTTTAATTGTGTTGTGGTGTAGAATAAATTTTAATTAATTTATTTTATTAAGTTTTTACGATTTTAATGAATTGTCTATTTGGGAATTATTTTATTTAAATATAGATAATTAATGGCTGAATTTATAATTTATGGGATGAACTATAAATTTAATTAAAATTGTTAAGTAAAGTATATGTTAAAAAATATTTATAAGATTTGAATTTTTTAATAAAAATGTAATAATTTATTTATATAATAAGAATTATAATATTTGAATAATGTATTTTAATTAGTTAAAGAAGAAATTATTATAATTATTGAAATAATAATAAAATATTAATATAAGTATAGATTAATATAAGTATAGATTATTAATGATGTTGATATAATAACATTATTATTAAGATAATAGAGTGAAAATTATTTGGTAAATTTGGTAATTTAAGTAACTCGACAAATTTAATAGATTCACATGTTTAATAAAAACATGGCCTTTTGAATATAATATAAGGTCAGCTCTGCCCTATGAATTTTTATTTTAAATGGCTGCAGTAAATTGACTGTGCAAAGGTAGCATAACCAGTAGTTTTTTAATTGGAAGCTGGGATGAATGATTCCGACTATATCGCTCGATTATTCGTCACGTCAAAAGTGACCGAATTCCGCGTCTCATTCAAATTACTTTCAAATTTCTCCAGTATCGTAACTTCTAGATGATAAAAAAAGATACCGTTCGATTTAGTATTTTCACGAATAGTGAAGAAAAATACTCATATGCTGCTCAAACAGAAATATGAATTATGATTTTGAACTTGAGCTGTCAACTACTTAACTACGTAACGTTAAATCTTCTCGATACACTTTTCTATAACTCGCTTAAATTATCTTGGACACAATTTCATCTCACAATTCCTACTCCATATACAAGATTTTGCATCAAGTTCAGATTTTTGCGTTTTTTAGAAAATGAATAACTAATCTAAAATAAAGAGAAAGAAACAATCATACAATTATATTGTTCACAGAGTTAAACTGAATTAACACAATAATAAAGTAAAAGTCATGTAACTTGTTATTGTTCGCGCAGTTTATTAGAAAACCATTAGCCATCGTCGTGCATTTTTAAATAGCCGTCATTTCTTTGTTTCGCCACGAGTGCATCAATCTGTGGACATGCCAATTAATTCAGCACTGATTGGTTTCGTTCGTTGCGAGGACAAAGCGCTATATAAACGAACGAATGAATAAACGACCTTTTGCATCTCCACGGATTACACTTGAATAATTTCGTAGCGTAATCGCACATGCGCTGCAACACTATTATGAAAGAAACGGAAAAAATCTCCATCCGTGACAAAGGAGAAGATAAAAGGACACCATATTCGTTATACGTATCATACTCGCTCTCAGAATTGGAAAAAACGATAGGAAATGACAGCTAAATGCGAGTCGAATCGCGCGAAGAAATCGAGGGACTTGTCGTACTCTGTCATAACGATTGATTCCCGTGGCTCGCTCTATTTGCCTCCCTCTCTGCTGTCCCCAGGACACGAGCTTTATTCGTTGCGCGGAGCGCGTACGCCATATTGCGGAGGCCGCGGCCTCCGTTAGGTCAAGAGGTCACTGGAGCAAGGTCGTGATCTAAGCTGAATCGCACGAGCGAACGATTCTTGTCCGAGAGAATGAGAGAACGAAGGAAAGGAGAGAGGGATAGAAGATAAAACGAGAGAGACAGAGGGAGGGAGGGAGGGAGGGAGGGAAGAAACGTACAGGTAAGAAGGAAGAAAGACAAAAGAGAGAGAGAGAGAGAGAAAATTCTTCTTTTACTCTGCCTTTTACCCTTTTATCTTTTATTCTCGCCACGCCTCGACGCGGCGAAACGTTGCCAAAGATAGATTTATCTCACCGCATCGTGCCCGCAGAAAATAGCTATAAATTGAACAAGGGGTAGAGGAAGTGAAGGACAGAAACGAGCGCACCGGCTTCGTAGAAGGAAATTATGCAATTCCGAGTGTTCGCGAGCCGCTCGACGTGGCAGAGATGAGACGCGGTCTTCCTTTGCGATGTTCTCTTTCTCTTAATGCATACTTGCACTCAAAATTGAATCTTGATCAAACGCGAGATAACGCGGTCTAGTTTAGAGAAATCCACCGAGACTGATATATATCGTTACTATGGTACACTACGTGTATCGTGTATGTGTGAGGAACTTTCGTTATCGTTTTCAAAATTGACAAGTTTCATTCGCAAAAACGCTATTAATTTTTGAAAAATCATTCATCAATTTTTATGATGTAGTATATATCGGTGATACGGTGATTATTTGATACATTATTGTTGTGTGCTCAACAGTTTCACTATCTGTGAAACATTGCATTATGCTCCCGACAAAATTTCTTTTACGATGGTTAACCGCAACGCATTTACGTGCATGTGAAACGATGACCGCATTTGCGTTGTACTCGGATTAGAACGGTGTGTTAGATATCGTTCGCATCATTGCATCGCAGTCCAATGGTTCAATCGACTAATCAAAACAATACTACGTTAATTGTACGAGCCGAATCGTTACGTCTAATTATTTTGAACGGTCGAGTTATCATTTTCACAAATCCCGGTTCTGCAAATTTATGCGTTAAAACCCGTTTTGTTGGATTGGAATAAAAGATTATAATTTTGCAAAAAAAAAATCATATCAAGTTATTAGCAAATAATTATTTTAGAAAAATTACTTTGTATAAAATAATATGAAACGAAGAGAATCTATGGCAGCATATTCAGAGTCATTAATTCGTTACTCTGTAATGAAAAGTTGTGTGCGGAGAGATAAGCGAAGGAATTTAATTCGCTAATTTCATTCGATTGTATTACGCATCCGACATCATGACATCCCTCCAGCTTCGCGTCATTCAAAAGCATTGCCTTCTCAGCGAATTGCAAAAGAAATCGATATGTATTTTCCGGATCAACGCTCTCTACAGCAGTACTGATACGACAAATTGACAATTACGTTGATTCCGCGTAGAGGAATATGTTGGCAAACTGACAATGGTTTGTTGTCTTTAGACCGCATAAACTCTTTCCGCAAAACCGCGATCTAGAGAGAAGTCGCAAAAAATGCACAACATAGAAGCGATTACTCGATCAAATTGACGTGGCGTTAGCGTTTAATTTTCGTATGAATGAAATCATATTCTATAAACCTTTAAAAAAATTGCTAAATGAAAAATTGAAGAAAATGAGGAATTTTATCTTACTTTTCTCCTTGTTTCAAAATATTTTATATAGTTTATAGTAATTACACACAAAAAAAATAATAAAACATATAAAATAAAATAATACATAGATAGAGAATTGTGTTCCACGGTATTAAGTTTTGCGTAGAAAAACAAACTATCGGTAACAACAAATTGCAATTTTCGATATTGACGTACATGTCAAGAAGAAGGATATGTAGTAAATAATAAAAATAATACTTCCGTGTACGTAGTGTGTGTTACACATTTTCTGCGATCGAGCGAACCACGCGAAAGAAACGATCGCATAAAGACATAAAAGCAGCTCTTTTGCAATGGAAATTTACGATGACGATTCGGGTGCTGTTGCCTCAGAAACGTTTCAAACGGAAAGAACACTCGAGAAGAAGGAGCTTTGAAAGCCCTCCATGTCTTCGACCTGTCTCCACTACATATTTATATGATGTTAAAGAAAACGGGAAACGCCCTTTACACTTGTCGTCCGAAGAACGAACGTACCTTTTTTTACTTCTCTCTTTTATTCTCTTTCAAAAAATATTTTAGATTCGAGTCCAAAATGTTAATCTAAACGGTGGACGCCTTTTAACGTAAATGTGTATGTCCTTTTCATTTAATAACTTAATTTCATCGACAGT